ACACACACACACACACACACACACACACACACACACACACACACACATATACAGCTCTTTGCATTAGGGGGTGCCTCATTTGCCCACCCTGACTTAACTTGTGGTCCCCAAGCCAACACAGGACAAATATTTTTATAAAGAAGGAAACAGGATCTGTGAAGTTTAGAGGGGTTGCAGGGCTTTTCCAAAAGCATGAACGCTAGAGCGAAAACAACTCGTGCTACTGACTGCATTCCAGTTGATAAGATGCAAAACCCCCGCAATGTCAGTCAGCTTCGGCGTGGCCAATGAAAACCGCAACTAATAACCCAAACGCGAGTTTTAATAGCACCACTATATCCAGATCTGTAGGTGGGCGACAGGACAAGGACGGCACCAGAGTAAACAAAACAGCAACGGCCTCCTTGAGGCTCCGGAGGGTGGAGGCTGCGACACGCCTGCCCTCGGGCCTCGGCCCCGCGCCCGCTCGTCCCTCACCTCAGGCTCCGGGCGCTCCGAGGCCATCACACAGCCCTCCCGCGCCGGCCCGGGCCAAGGAGGCCGCTCCACTCCTGACCTCTGACCCGGCTAGCTCCGCACCGGGCAGGAACCGGAAGTCGTTGGGATGGCTGGGTTCTGAGCTTTCTGATTGGTGGGTAGCCCGGCTGTGGGCGAAACCGGAAGTGGAAGTGGTTGCTCCAGCCGGGCCGGGGCAATGCAGGTGAGAAGCGGGTTGGATCTTGCAGTCGCTACCCACCGGGCCGGAGGGTGGGCAGGAAAAGGACGCTAGGAAGTTGGGGCTGTGAGGAGAGGGCAAAGTCCTCGGCTACTTGAGGGAAGGCAGCGGGAACAGGAGAAGGCGAGGACAGCTATGGGAAGCGCGGATGTTGAGCTCGCTAACCGGAGGCCCGGGGAGGCTAGGCGGACTTGCTTGATTGAGTGTGGGAAAGGATCGAGAAAGTAGTAGGCTGCCTTGGATACTGACGAAAGAAGGCTTCAGAAGGCTGAAGGGATTGTGGGTCACCAAGGACGAAAACTAATCTGTTTGTAATCCGAGGCTGTAGGTGGAACCCAGTATCCAACCCCATCAGTCACTTTGTCAGCTTTGCAAATCAGCTTTGCATCACTCTTCCCGGCTTGTGCCCAGTTGCTAAGGGCGGAGAAGTGGAGTAAATAGTCCACAGATGGTCAAACGGAAACCCTCAGCTGGCTCAGCATTTAAAATTGCCCAGCGCTCAAAAACAATGTGTAGGTTTCCTCGCCTTTGTACTCATTTGGTTTGTTGCACCTGGCGATCCTACCGTTTGAGTGTTTATGGGTCACCCGAGTTTACAAAAGAGACACTGGAATATTGGCACAGAGATACACGAGTACACGTTGACTCAGCAAGAAGATCGAAGCGCCAAATGCTATAGATTGCCGACCAATTGGGGGACTGGGGAGGGAGATTGCAGAGCTGGTATTCAGAGAAAGCCTTGCATATAGGCAACGAGTGAGACCCCACAAGATAGTGTTGTTGACAGCTCACAAGGCAGACGGTGGTGGTGTAGGTGTACTACAGAGGAACCCATGAGATGATGAATTTCAAGGATTCCTTCTGGCTGTATGTGCCTCCAGCACCCCTGCTATCGTGGCAAACCTTTCTAAAATGTACCGAACTTTCCTGAAAGCAATGTGGCAATACCAACCCCACAGAGTGACACAATACAAGAAAGATTCTCCATCCCCCAAGGGGAGCAGCATGATGACAGCAAACAGTAGTATGGTAGGCAGACTGTGTCTGTTTGCCAGAAAAGGGCTAGGCCTACAGAGAAGATTGTGCTGCGGCTTGAGCGTGTTCTTCTTAACCCTACTGCGGTTCTAAGAATGTTGGCTATTGAAAGAGGCAAGCATTTTGAGCTGGGAGAAGAGAATGGAAATGAAAAGATAAAGGCCTAAGCGATACAGTTCTAAGCCAGTAAAATCACGAGGGTGCAGGCTGAAGGGAATTAGATCTGGTGCAATGTCCTTACCGAAGGGCCACAGTGTAGGAGGACGATAGGAGTAATCAATTGGTGGGAGGACGGGTTGAAAGGTCTAAGGGTTACCGCTGTCTGTAACCCAGATATCAAGGTAGGAAATAATTTAGCTTTTCGGTATGTGTTGCACTCGGGTGTACCTGAGTAACCAAATGTGTCATTGACACAGAGGGAGGAGAAGCAGCTTGAGGCCTCACTAGATGCACTGCTGAGTCAAGTGGCTGATCTGAAGAATTCACTGGGAAGTTTCATCTACAAGCTGGAAAACGAGTATGACCGGCTAACCTGGTAAGGACTGCCAGGACAGCTGGGGAGGGCCATGGTAGTGGGGCCAGGCCCCCTGGCCGATGGGATATCTCCAGTGATGTAACTATTTATCAGTTTGCAAACATCCTTTTTGATTTGGAAAGAACTAGGTTGCCCAACATTGACAAGTATAATTTGGCTTAAGGCCTCCATGACAAAGAAACAGAGAAATGCCCCATTTCACAACCTGGCCTGTTTCTAGGTTTTAATTCTTATGCTTTGACTTCCTTGGTAAGGAGGAATTTCCTCAGTGGAAGACCATTATAGCTACATTCATGCTGGATCTCCTTCCACAGAGGTGGCTGATTCTGAGATCCAACCTGCTGTAGAATGATGCAGACAATGGGTTGTCTTTTTATTCTGCATCCATGTCAGAAATTGAAAGTGTCTTCCTCTTACCCAACTCCATCATTTCTGCTAGCAATTCTGGTTCTCGCCTAGGCTAGTCATAGAGCCGTGCGTCTTCCGGGGCTGAGTCTGGGTGTTCCAGAATTAGGAACTTGTAGAGATTATTCTGTAGGGAAAAGTAACTCTGATGACGTCCTGCCGCCACCAGGCCCTCTGTTCTGGACAGCTTTGCATTGCTCTCTGGACAGCTGAACACTCTGAACAAGGTCTTAAAACATGAGAAGACGCCCCTGTTCCGTAACCAGGTCATCATCCCTCTGGTGCTGTCCCCAGACCGAGATGAAGACCTCATGGTAAGAAGCGCAGCTGTTGACTGGCCCCTCTGTGTAGCAATGAAAAGTAAGGGCTGCTGTCTGGAGGACCTGCTTTCGTATCCTTCTGAAGGCGGGAGAGTCACTTTTAAATAACTCTGAAAACCGAGGCCTGTGTCACCAAGTCCATGACCTTTCTTTTCTGACATATATATCAGGCAAAAAGAAAAAGTCTCTTATGCCTGCCTGTGACTTTGTCTATTCTAGACTTTAAAATATGGGGTTGGGAATTTAGCTCAGTGGTAGAGCAAACATGAAGTCCTGGGTTTGGGCCCCAGAATGAGGGTGAGGATTCATAAAATAGCAAAACAACAAGACAGTTACAGTGTGGTAGTAAGGGTAAAATTTAATCCGTCTTAATCCTGATAGAATGTGTGAAAAGACAGTGTCACAAAAAGCTACGTTTGTGCCTCAGATTGTGCTGTCTCTGAAAATGCAGTTTCCTGTGGAAGGAAAATGGGGTTAGAATCAACTTATTTGGATAGCACAATAGGATCAATACAATCTGTGTTACAGCGTCAAACTGAAGGACGGGTGCCTGTGTTCAGCCACGAGGTTGTCCCTGACCATTTGAGAACCAAGCCCGACCCTGAAGTTGAAGAGCAAGAGAAGCAGCTGACCACAGATGCTGCCAGAATTGGTGCGGATGCAGCTCAGGTTGGATTGAGTCACTGCGCTGCTGCCCCATCCCTGTCCTTCATAAGAAGCAAGACTTGACCTAGCCTCTCTAGTAGGGATGTGGGTTTGCTTATAGCTAAGCTGCCTCTGGAAGAGCACAGGGAAGATGCTTCCCCAAAATCGTTACTAATCACAACATCAATTCATGTGTGTTATAGAAGCAGATCCAGAGCTTGAATAAAATGTGCTCAAACCTTCTGGAGAAAATCAGCAAAGAGGAAAGAGAATCAGAGAGTGGAGGTAAGGAGGGGTGTGTGGCAGAACAAAGGGAGAGCTGTGCAAGATCACTAACTAGGAATGGCGCCCTGCCTCATGGTGCAGAAAGACATAAGAATCAACTCCTGGGACTGGCAGAATGGCTCAATGGGCAAAGGTCTGACCTAAGGTTGATCCCTGGGACCTACATGGTGGAGGGAAGAACCAACAAGTTGTCCTCTGACCACCACACACAAAATAAGTAAATGTGATGTAAAAAAAAAATAAGAGGCTACTTTTCTCCTGAGCAGAGGTGGCCATCCTCTGTGTCTTTCCCGGTAAATGTCTTGTGTGAGGTTGTTGTGCTGTGTGACTTTGTGATGTTCCTTGGCTCCCAACCACCAGGAAACCTTTCCCCTCAGAGCTGTACCAATTACATTGGTGCCAGGACTTGGAGAGGCTCTCCTGGGGTCTGAGCCATACTGGGGGCGGGGCAGTGTAGGGAGAATGAACTGGTAAGAAAAGGATCTGGATCCTGTTAGTGTTTGTTGTGTAGACTAGCCTTAAAAAAGCACATGGTGGGAATAGACAAAGTGAAAGTTAATCATAGGTTTGGGGATTTTGATGGGCCTGGGGGATTCTTGATGGCTTTGCAGTCAAGACGATAAGCCCTGGCTGCTGTCACTGGTCTCCCAGCTGCTGGGTTTAGTCCAGAGTTGGACATACACTTGAGGATTCTTGCTTTTTTTTTCCCTCAGGTCTGCGGCCAAACAAGCAGACTTTCAACCCTGCAGACACTAATGCCCTAGTGGCAGCTGTTGCCTTTGGGAAGGGGCTGTCTAATTGGAGACCCTCAGGTAGCAGTGGGCCTGGCCAACCCGGCCAGCCAGGAGCTGGTACTATCCTTGCAGGAGCCTCAGGATTACAGCAAGTTCAGATGGCAGGTGCTCCCAACCAGCAGCAGCCAATCCTCAGCGGAGTCCAGATGGCTCAAGCAGGTCAACCAGGTGAGGTGACATCTCACAGGAATGTGGGATAAGCTAGAGCATCTAAGCCTCCTACATCCTCACCCTCTTCCAAAGTTGGGAAGCTCTTCCTTTGCACTGTCACTCAGAAGACAGTTCAAAGCTCTGCAGAGACGGAAGAAGGACCTTGAATAGCAGAAACTGGTGTCACCATTTACTTCCACCTCAGACTTCCGTTTCAACTGTCCTATTTATTCTGGGTGTTAGTGTGTGTCTCTTAGGTAAAGAAATAAGTGTCCAAACCTTAATCAAGACCATTTGGTAGATAATCAAGAATTAAGCTGGCAGTCTGCCAGTCCTTTATGGATTCTTTCTCCTACCCTGTCCCTTGGGTCATGGCTCCTTGCTTTCTCTCATGCTCCTTTTTGCTTACTGCAAGAGCCGTCTGGAGGGGTTCGCAGCAGTGGCTGCAAAGCTGTCTGCAGGCTGTCCAGGGAAAAGGACAACTGAGGTAGCAGAACATGGTACTCTTTACCAGTGATGTGAAACAGGGGCTACATAGTTAACTGTCTTTCTGAAAGTAGATGGGCAGGAGACCATTCTAGGGGACAGGGCTGTTCAGACCCCTCCTCGCTCCTTTCAGATCACCCCTTTCTCTCTAGATATGTTCCGTGAGGGAGCCGGCTGAAGAGCCATGGCCTCTGATCTCTGCCATCTAGAGTTGGAGGCCACAGAGGTTCTGAGGTACAGGAGATGACAGGAAGGAATCCAAGAGGCTGCATTTCTGATTTATTGTGAAAGTTTACCTTGCTTCAGATATCTTTCTTTGTGTTATTTTTAGGGAAAATGCCAAGTGGGATAAAAACCAACATCAAGTCAGCCTCAATGCATCCCTACCAGCGGTGAGTGTGGGCAGCAGCCTCCGCTCTCAGGTGATCTGTGCTGAGTTGAGCAATGACATTTATCTTTTGCTCAAGGCTTACCTAGACAGGTACAATAGAAAGAACACAGGCTTTCAGCAAGAGACAGATCTCCGCTCCAGTGTGAATAGCCATGCGACCTTGGGAAAGTGACCTAATTTTTCTGAGCCCATGTTCTCATTTGTAATGGTGATAATACCTACCTCATAGGGTTGTTGTGAGGATTAAAATGGGAAAATGAATGTAAAACACTTAGCATGGTATATGAAATACTGGGTCTTGAATAAATGAGTTTCTTACTTTTCCACCCTGCCATTCACTGTCCTATATCCAGAACTTACTGTGATTTCCTACAGCTCGTGACAGTGGTGAGCTAATGAACACAGGATCAAGTAATCCAGGAACCATGGCAGCCTGTATGTGTTGGAGGCATATTGTCTCTTTAGTTACCTCCTGTTCAGGTCCCATCCTGTTAGCCCTAAGCTAAAGATGAAGAGGTTTCTGGGGAACACTGTCCACCTACAGGTCTAATGAAGTCAGCTCAGCTTTTACCTGGGAAATAGGTAAAAGTCTCCATCTTTTACCCTCCTCTGCTTAGGAAGATGTCTAGGGACCAGCAGTGGGAGATTTCTTAGGAAGTGTCCCTGTCAGGTAGCAGCACAGATAAGATACTGTCTTCCTCCTCTGAGGGGAATCGTCAGGGTTCACTTGTCCGCACAGTAACTACTCCCTGTTTCTGTCTCTTCCCTTTCACTAAACGTGAGGCTCGGATAAGATCTGGATTGAAAGTGGGAGGGCAGCGGCCCATTCATCTTGCTTGCTTTTGTAGAGTTGACGAACAGTGGATTTTTGGACAGCCAGCCATGTTGCCTTTCTCAGCATTCTTTTGTGGGCAAGGGCAGGGATTGAGTCAGCAGAAGTGGGCCAAAGGGTTTCTCTGTTCAATAAAGATATTTAAATTGATGTTCCCCGGCTCAGGGTTGTGTGACTGAAATTTATGAGCCACCAGGCAATTCTAATTTGTTCTCCTGAAAGTATATCCTTATCTTTAATTTTCTTTAATTTTAAACCCCTACGACTGCCATCTGCACTGTCTGTATTCCCTTCTGTTACACACAAGAACCTTGGCCTTTGGTCTCTGTCAGACAGCATTCTACCAGGCTGTGGCAGCAAAGGCTTGGAAAAAATGGTCCTCTGTTAGTGATCTGTGGAGATGTGAGTGGTGTTGACAAAGCTAACCGGCCACAACACACTGCACCAGGGGAGTCCTGTCATCTGCTCTGAGGCAATGCCAAACTTTCCCCCACTTAACCAGGCTGGCCCATCAGCCCATCCAGGTGGTGTTTATCTTCTCATCTTTTCCCTTCCCACTGAATGTCAGCGCTAACTGGGGTACGGAACAGAGCTCTAGCTGAGCTTTTCCGGACCTTCTGAGCATGTCTTGCTGACTGCTGTCTTTTACTCCACCTGTTATCAATCCTGAGAGGCTTTGTTGCCCCAGCTGAACCATCTCCATTCCCACCATACTATTGAAATGGGCTTCTTGCCCTCCAAGAACAGGACTATCCTCCTGCTGCAGGAGGAGTGCATTCAGGTCCTCACCTACATCTCATGCCCTTAAGCAAACAGTTGGGTGCTAGAAGCACCCACACCTAAGTTAGTCGCTCTGTCATTTCCACCACCTCCTCCCTCTAGAGCTTTTGCATACAAATCTGTTGATCTTCCACTTTGGGGTTCATATACCAGTTCACCCCACGATGGAAAGAATGTCTGGAACCTCAACTACTTGGTCTTTTGGGAGGAATGTATATGGAGTTGCCTGTGAGAAAGACAGAGCTGCTTACTTGCTCACACTTGCAGTCTATAAAAGATAACTTGCACTACTCCAGCGGTTTCTGACCCCCTTTCTCTGCTTGGGGATTGTACTCTCTGCTACATTTGGGACCCTTGGATAAGGGGGTTAGATGGGCAAAGGTCTTCTCTGTTGTCTCCCAGGTTTGTTTCTGGGATGGAGAAAGCAGCAGCAGGTGTGAAACTTCCCACAGCAGTTCATCCCACTGAAGGTGGAAGCTTATGGAATCAACGTCAAGTCCAACGGAGGTTGCCCAAGCTCTCTCCCTCCATTCTGTCCTGAGGCTGGGATTCAGTCCTTACTGATTGCCCTGGTCACCTTGTTCTTTCTCTTCTTTCAGTGTAAATTGATGTCCTACTTAGCTGGCTCGCCACACTCAACTGTGCCTTGTGCGGGCAACAGCTAAGACAGTTAGGTGGGTTGTAGCCACAAGTTTCCTGTAGCTATGTAGAGTGGCAGCACTGGGTACAGGCTAGACCTCTTATCCTGCTGCTAAAAGGAAGAAGCTGAACTCTGCAGAAATGCCCCAATGTGAGGCTGAGCCATTTTCCACCCCCTCCACACCTCCCCCAAGCAGCTGGAAACAACCTCCCCCTTTGTCTGAGTTTCTTGTACAGAATAATCCTCCTTCTGGACAATGTATTCTCTGTGTCCTGTGGACACAGGAGCCGTGTGAGCCGATCCCAGCACTAGGCAGGACGGAGGCTGAATCCTTCCAAACGCCCACCCTGCTCAGCTCCTGATTAATGTCCAGTGAAACTACAAAGGCTTGGGCATTTTTTTTTTTTTTCCCTGTGCGCTCAATTTGAGTGGCAAGAGGGCCTTTTGTGGGTTAGCCCTGGCCAGCAGTAAGAGCAGGAGCTGTATTCCCTTTTCTAGCCTGCCCTGAGCATTTAAGCACCAGTTTGCAGAAGTTTGATGATTTTTTTCCTCAAAGCCTGGAATGCACAGGGGCTAGGGCTTTAGAAATTGTAGGAGAGGTGGGGGAGTGACTTGCCTGGCAAGTCATGGTCATCCATCATGTCACATGGACATCATCGTGTACTCCACAGGACACACTTCTTAACAATCTCTGTCTCTCTCTTCCTGAGTCCCATGTGTCACAGGCAGAGCCTGGCTTCCTCTAATGTGGTCTCTTGGTAAGAGTTACATGCCTTCACAGAACGCATGCCAAGGACCAAGGCTGCTGAGTTCCTTGGGCCTCCCTTACCTCACATCGGAATGACCCCAGTGATCTTTCTAGCCTGGTTGTCTGACACTCTGAAGCCTACACATGCAGGCTTTCTCTTTTGCTTTCTTTTTCTTACTGCATAGCTCTTTTACTTGAAATGGGGTAGGTTTCCTCAAACCCCTAATGGCTCCTCACATTCTCTGTCATGAGCCTTCATCTAGACTGTGTCCCTGGCAGGTACTGTCTCCTAGCTTTCATGTCATTCTCATGAAGATGAATCAGAGAGGTAGTGAGATGGCTGTGGATTAGAAGTCACCTCCCATTCTTAAACGTCTGTCTCCTCTGTACAAGATAACTTATAGGAAGGATTTTTTTTCTCTCTCTCTCTTTGAGATAGGGTTTCTCAGTGTAACAGCTTTGGCTGTCCTGGAACCTACTTTGTAGACCAGGCTGGCCTGGAACTCACAGAGATCTGCCTGCCTCTGCCTCTTGAGTGCTGGGATTAAAGGTGTGGCCCATCATGCCCAGCCCTGAAAGATTATTTTAGTCTAGAGATTTATATTTTGTATAATGTTGATATCCCTGCCTATTTGGGCCATGGTTACCATAGGTTCTGGATGTCCAAACTCAGTCATTCTTCCCTTTATACCTGTATTCTAGTTTTCCTGGGAATAATCTAAGCCAGGCATATGGGATCATCCCAAAGTATTGTCTTATATGTTCCCAGCTACATTCCCTGGAATACTGATTTTACATACTAAACCAAATACAAAGTATCCTGAGGAGCTCCCCTTTCTATTTGTGCCATTCTGCTGTCTCCCCTGTTCTCACTGTAATTTCCTAATGTGTGGTTCTTTATGTTGCCGTGTTTTGCTTACATCCTACATGGAGGCTATCTTTTATTCTTGCTGTTAATTTCCCTGGAGTACACATGTTTTCATGACCTGGTTAATGATGTTTTAAGTCTTCCATAGTAGAAATCTCTCTTTCTTGGCTCTTATGTCCTTTCTCTGGCTGTTTTATATTTAACCTCTCCATAGCACTCAGCAGCACTGACCATTTCCTTCAAGTCTCTTTCCCTGCATTGGCTTCTAGAGCAACTGCCCCCGTACTTCCACCTAACTGGCTATTTCTTCTCAGCAGTTTTTGGACTTCTGAGCTTCTGTCTTCTGCATTGCTGTTGCTCTCAGCTTGTCCTTGTCTCCCTTCTTAGGCTTTCTGCCCTCTATATGACCACCATTCTTTTGTGCACAATGCAAACAAGTTTTGTTTCAGCTCAGACCCCTGCTGAATTGCAGGTTGCTGTCTGGATATCTTGGATCCATTTACCCCTGGTTTCCACACGTTCAAGCTGTCCAAATCCTGTCATCCTTCTCTCTCCACACTTGTTTCTCCTCTAGTTTTCCTGGGTATTAATTACCTAAACCAGGGTCATGGGAGCACCCTAGACTATTTCTACCATATCTTCCCAGCTACTTCCCTATAACTAGTCCAACGGCAAGTTGTGTCAGTTTGTCTTTCCAGCACCAAACCTATCCATGCCCAGTTAAGCCTCTGAGCTGCTCTCTGTGAAAATATTATTTAGACTCCCTACCTCTACTAGAAACTTTCTGACCTACAGATCTGATCCTATTACTCCCTTGCTTAAAATCTTTTTGACAGTTCACCCCCTATATTTCTTAAACTCAAGTTCGCACATCTAGGAGGCTGGTAGGGACAGTGTTCCAGGCATAAAATCCATAGGCTAAAATCATTCCGGGATTTTCATTTTACTTGAGGGTAATTTAAAATGAAATGCAAATCCCCATAGAAAGAGACAGAGACAAAAACTACTAGAAATTGAGCCCAGGGCCTTATGCATGATAGGCTCCATTCCCAGCTCTGGTTTTTTTTTTTTTTTTTTTTTTTTTTTTTTTTTTTTTTTTTTTTTTTTCATTTTGAGACAGGGTCTCACTAAGTTGCCCAGGCTGGCCTTGAATTTGGGACTCTCCTGCCTCAACCTCCCAAGAAGCTGGGATTACCAACCTGTACAAACAGGCCCAGCCATGCAGTCATTATTAGAAAATAGATTCCAAGAACATTTGAGGTTCCCTGGAGCTATTTTAAAAGCAGCTCACATTTTGTAGAAAGGCAAGTAAGATTCTTTGGCCTAGTTGCTTGCCCTCTGGCTTATCTTCCTATATTGATTTTCTACCTACCTAATTCCAAAAGCCTATCTAGTGTGACCAGTTCTTTTGAGCCTCCATTTTTTTTTTTCTACTGTGCTTTATCATTCTGTTTGATAGTCAACCATATTACTTTTGGGAGAAAGTGTTAAATAGAGTCTCACCCAGCCTAGACTGGCATAGAATTTTTGGCAATCCTCCTGCCTCAGCCTCCTAATAACCATGCCAAGCTTCTAATCAACATTTTAAAATATATATTTATTTATGTATATGAGTACTCTGTCTTCCTGATATATATACATGGCAAAGGAGGGTATCAGATCACATTATAGATGGTAGTGAGCCACCATGTGGGTGTGGGAATTGAACTCAGGGAGAGCAGTCAGTGCTCTTAATCACTGAGCTTTCTCTCCAGCCCTGCAATCAACTTTTAAAACTGGGCTCTTGTGTTTCTACTGTGAGGCCTTCCAGCATCCCACAATTCAGTGCCACTCCCATTAAGAAAGGTCAGTTACCTCCTTTTTTATGTTCTACACCTGTACTTTGTACAAATGTCTTCCAGCTCCTCCTGCACTTTATTGTCCTTCAAGTTCAAGTGCCCTGAACTGTCAGAGTTTGACCACAGTTTTTCCACCTGAAAACTGTGGTCTTTGGGAAGATAATGTATTAATTTTGGTATTCCATGTCATGTGGCCCATCTTAAAGAGTAGATGCAGAAGTATTGCTAATACCTCTATTATGATTTCATTTTTGTTATTTTATGGTGGTACATGCC